TCTGCTTCTCCAAAAAAAAGAGGCTTGAAAAACAGCCACAACAAAACCCCCTGCATAGAAAGCAAATATTAGCATATTGGATCATGCTTTCCTACTGACAGTCTCCTGGCATTCAGAGAAGTTTCTAGTGGAAATAGTTGTCCCAAGATGGGATAAAATTTGCATGTGAACATGGTAAAGTAGGAGAGATAGGGCTTGAGCTCAAGCCTGGTCCTTGGGTGCAGGCATTCCCGCCCCCCCACCAAAGCTTGGGGAACACCAGGTGGTTCCCCTCCCCCGCTCCTGGCAGAGCAGCCGTGCCTGCAGGGAGCAGGGGGCTCAGGGGCCAGTGGGCCATTCTCCCAAGAAGCACCCTGGAGAGGCCCCTGGCCCACTGGCATGGCACAGGGTTCATTCCCGAAGGCCTGGCCGCCACAGTCTGTTGGCGCAGAGCTGCGAGCTCTCCCGGAGGCCTTTCCACCTGGCCTGGCCAGACCATCTGTTTCGATGGCTACACAACAGCAAGGGAGTCTTCTCAAGTCCCCGGGGCTTCTCTGACTCAGAGAGAGACGACAGAGATGTCAGAGGGCGAAATCTGTTGCTACTCTCGTGCACAAGGGCAAAGTCAGAAGATGCCTCATGAGGTGGTGCCAGGAGGGGTTTGTAGTGCTCTCACTGTGGCTTAGTTCTCATGGTGAGGAATGCCATTGTGAGCAGACAGCCTGCTCTTTGCAAAGGCTTAGGACAGAATACATCCAGTCCCTGCATCCCCATCTATCCATTACCCATCCATTCATCCATCCATCCACCATCCATCCACCCGTCTCTCCATCTATCCATCCATCCACCATCCATCCACCCATCCACCCATCCACCTATCCACTCATCCATCCACCCACCTGCCGTCCATCCATACATCCCTCTACCCATTCATCTATCCACCATCCATGCATCCATCTATCTACCGTCCATCCATCCATCCATCCATCCATCTACCCATCCATCTACCCATCCATCTACCCACCGTCCATGCATCCATCCCTCTATCCATTCGAATATCAGACTGTACCAATCACACACAAAAATGTACAGGAGACAACTCTGTTGTCTTCATGGGGTTTGGGGGTGTGTATTTGTTTGCACACATGTCCGGGGGTTTACACGTGCAGGAAAACACAATAGATGCAGGGAAATATTGAGAGAAGCAGGCACGGGTGTGGTGGGGCAGAGACTGCACAGGGAAGCACGAGCAGTGAACCCCTTATCACATCCTGCGTCACCCACCCAAACTCACATGGGTTAGCGGCGGGCCCAGGGATTTAACAATACAGAGTCAGAGAGTTACTAGCAACTGACTTCTATAAACCACAGCATTTTTGTGTGTGCATGTGAGGGGGGGCAGGAATAATCACCTCCTATTCTCAGCTTTTTTAGGCTACAATGCAGAGTGCCCCTGAGCTTCTGAGTGTGTACGGCCAGCGCAGGGGCGGGAATGGGGCCGGGACTGCAGCTGCAGAAGGGAGGTTGTAGCCAAGCACCCCGGCCGGCGCCCCCTTTGTCTCTCTGTGCTCTGTAGGGAGAGGGCGGCGACTATAATCACGTTCATTTACGCGGTTCTTTACCTTTATAATATCCTTTCTCATCCGCACCTTGCTTCATCTTTGAAACAGCCCTGGGGGAGGAGAATTGCCAATGTCCCCAGTTCAGAGCTGCAGAAGCTTCAGGAGGACAGGCCATTCCCCAGGGACCTGGCTTGGAACCTGCCTGACCCTCCTCCCCCAGCCCCCAGGACAGACTGACCTTGAGCCCAGGGGCCAGCAAGCCCACGGCTCGGGCGTCTCGTGGGAAGGGGCCAGGAAGGCGCCAGCCTGGAGTCCGGCCGGGCGGCATTGGGACCAGGCTTTGTAGCCAAACTTCAGTGTGCTCTTAAGAGGGAAAGCCCACCCTCCACCGGAGCCCCTGGCTTCTGCCCAGGAGAACTTCCTGGGGTGTGAGTGGCGTGTGAGCATCTGAGAGTGCCTGTGTCTAGGAGTATTTTAACTTTTTCTCCTTAAGTATTACAGGCTTGCTGTTGAAGAATTAGAAAGTAAAATATTATCTAAAAGAAAAAAATCACTTAGAATGTCATTGTCCCGTGTTTCGCTGATCGCCTTCCTGGCATTCACGTCGGCATCTGCGTTCTTTCATCGAGGGTGACCGTCTGGGAGTTACAGCCAGTTGCTTGTTCTGTGAACGCTCGGTGCCGGACATCCTTCCACAACCAGGACCACTGACACTGTGCCACCCGTGCTGGCGCCCAGGGCTCCCTTGGGTGGCCTCATTAACGCAGTCAGCTCCCTACACAGAGGAGTTTTTGGGTTTTCACCTTCAGAGACTGCTGAGATCGATGTCCTCCAGCCCTTGTTGAATTAGTCCTTCGGACCTACGTTCCAGAAGTGGGATTGCCCCGGCAAAGGATCCTCCAATTTTACTGTTTTGCTCCTGTTGCTAAGTTGCCTCCAGAGAGGCCCCCCACCCCTTGCCGGCTCCCAACAGACCTGAAAAGGAATGGCCCCTGGAGAACCCCAGGCGCCGTCCAGGACGGGCCCGCGGGGAGCCCAGCTGCCTTGCCGGGGGCCACGTGCCCTCTGTCTTTGAGACGTTCACTCATCTGTGGCCTCGGATGTGAAGTTCCCGCTGACAGAGCTTGCCCGGCAGGCACGAAAGCAACAAGGAGGTGATTACTTGGTACCGGAGAAAACCTGCAGGCTCCGCGGTGCTGGGCGCTTCTCTGCTCTCGGCGGCCAGTGGAATGACCCGGAGGCTTGTCAAGATTTCAGAAGAACCGGGTCTGACAGGGAGAGGATGGGACGGGACAGGATTGACACTCCGATAATCACCAGAAATGAGAATGTCTGTGTCTGTCTTCATGCCTCCGCAGAGTGGGACCAGCTATTTTTACGCATGGTGGCTTCGTGCTGCTGACCTGCGAGGTCTGGCCGAGAGTGGACAGCCTACCCGGAGCCCCCGGGTGGAGTCGGCCCCCCTGTAGAGGCTGCAAAGCCGGAATTCTTCTTCCAGGCTGTGAGCAGCCCTCCACGGTTTACGTACCATCCATCATACGGTGAATTCTCATTTTGCCCTTTCACTTAGCAAACAGAGAAGCAACACCCATCATGTTCCGGATGCTTCCCTCGTCCTCCTCCCCTCCTGGGAGACTAGAATCATTCCACATTTTCCCTGAGAAAACTAGAACTCAGATCTCTACACTCACAATGTGGGAACCCCCCCATGACCCCACACAGCCTCCTCGTGTAGTCACGGCTCCAAGAAGGGACCTGAGCCTGAAGAGGGGCTGCCTCCACCCCAGACCCGGGGTGGGGGTCTCTGACCCTCAGAAAGTTCCCAGAGGGCCACTGGCCAGGCCTCTGAGTCCTGCTCATCTCCCCCGGGGCGTGGGAACTCTGACCACACACCTGGTCCCCAGGGCAGTGGTAGCTGCCCTTCTGTGGCAGGTCCCCAAGACTGAGCCTCAGCCTCCCCAGGGCTCAGATCTGGGGTTGAGGGCAGGTGGGAGTGGGGAGTGGGTGGCGGGCGGTGGTGAAGGGAGTGGGACGCCCTCAGAACTGAAGAACTCGCCCCAAGGCGCTGAGCGACTGACAGCACATTTAGACCTAGACTTGTTTTGCCGTTTCTAGCTGCCGGCCAGGGTGGAGGGAGGCTGGCTCAGGACTCTCGCCTTGAGACAGACTTGCCTCCTGACCCGGGCTTGCTGCTTAAGATGGGGAGGCTGGGGCGTTGCAGGCAGGCCCTTCACAACTCCTATTTCTCTCCTCCTCAGAAACGCAAGCCCGGAACTTGCTCAGGCCCCTGACCTGGCTCCCACTGGAGGGCCAGAGATGCCTGGGAAACAGAGCAGAAGGAGCAGGAAGAAAAACAGGGTGTTGGTGGGAGCGTCCACCCAGGGCTGGACCTCACGCAGCACCACCTTCCCCCGAGAGGGAGCCCCAGGTGGAGGCCTGCCCACACCCGCGGGCGGGGCCGATTCAAGGCCAGCTTCACTCTGGCCTGGGAATTCTCCTCCCTGTGTCCCCTCCCCACTGGAGGCCCAGCCCGAACCCCCTCCGTAGTCCCTCACGGATCCGCCCACCTCTACTCCAGGCGCTGGTCCTGTGTCTGGGCCCGGGGCCCATGGGTCTCACTGGGACAGGGTGATCTGGTTGTTGTAAAGGAGGGGAGCGGTTCCTCTGCCCTCTTAGGACTGTAGCTGGGCCTAAACTAAACTGACAAAAGATCAACAGGAGAAGAGCAGACACATTCTATTTAGTGCGGCATCGGGCTGAGACAGACTCCGAAGCCCAGGTCAGGGCCCAGATGAGAAGAGGGCTCCGAGCAGCCTGCCTGGAGTCTGGGCAAGGAGCATCTTCTTGGACCCTTGGGTGGGGCCTGTTTGCAGTTCTCGGGAGCAAGCCCAGGCTGTGTAGGCCTGCAGTCACCTGCTTAAGATGTTCTCCCTGGTGGGGACCGAGGACTGCCTGGTCAGGGGCCTGACTGAGAGGGCAGCTGCCTCCTGAGCTCCCCTAGGTTCTGAGCGTGATTCCCCCTCCTGCCTGTGGACGTCGAAGGCGCCGTCTGCACCCGCGGGCAGGTGACGGGCAGCAGCACACTGTGTCCCAGTCTGGCACGCACGACGGATGCCATTTCCAGCTTCAGGGAGAGCCCCGGAATTCGCTTCCTTCCCCGCTGTTGTGTGGATTTTAGGTGATCAATGCCCAGATCCGGGAGGGAGCAGGATCGGGCTATTTCTTGGTAAATGTTTTCCTCCTGCACCGTCTATAAAACAGCACTCGACAGTTAGTCACTGCAGCCTCATAAAGGAAAACAATCAATCTTTGGTGAAGTGCTCACACCAGACCTCAAACATCAAACCATCTAATTCCAGATTAGATAAGGTTACAAGGCTTTGATGAAGCCGTTTGTTCAAAACTGAAGTCATTTCTGATTACTTGGAGAGCACGTTACATCAGTCCTGATCCGAGCGAGGTAAACGGCTCAGGTGGAGGTGCGTGGGCCATTGTCCACGTCTGAGCTCCATCACCAGAGGACGAGGTAGGACGGGACCTGTTTGTGCTCGTGGGTCCAGAGTGCAATGTGTCTGTGCAACCAGCTCCCTCACTGAGGTCTGGGGCGGGGTGGCATCCTGGATGGCAGAGCTGGAAGGGAGGACACTCAGAGGCCACCCAGCTCGGCTGCCCGTCTCACAGATGGGAAAACTGGACCCAGAAGGGCCGAGCTCTCGCAGCGCATTAAGGCGGGACCCGGCTCTTTACTAAACTGGTGAGGGGTGTTCCAGGCCACAGAACAAGAGTGGGGCAAAGCTCTCCCAAGACATTCATTCCTCGTTACTCAGCAGACACTTGTTGAGTGCCTGCGATGTGCCCGGCAGGTCGGAATCAGCTGGACAGATCTGGAGGAACGGAAGCTCAGGGTCCTCTGATTGCCCCAGCCGCCCGTTGTGGCCTTGGAAGCCCCGAGTCAGCACCAGCCCCAGGACAGCTGCTGGGGCGGCCCGTCAGAGCCGGGAGCTGGACCGGCCACCCTTCACCACTGCCCGTTACTGGTTGAATGTCAAAGGTGGGCGTGGACTTTCAAGCAGCCAGCTTGGGCCTTGGGGCCTCCATGACCACCTCTGTGCTCCCCAGACTTCCTCCAGATGCCACACATGGTACACACTTCCCATCTCCTCCTGTTAAGGGCACTTCGTTTTTCTTTCCACTTTTGGCTGTAATGAGTAAACTTGTGATGAGCACTCACGTCCAGGCCTTGGGCGGACGTCAATTTGCTTCTCCCGGGTGGACACCCAGGAAGAGGACTACTGGGTCATATGGTAACTCTTTGTTTAACTTGATGAGAAACTGTCAACAGTTTCCCAAAGTGTTTGTGTGGATTATACGCCCACGGTCAGTGTACGAGAGTTCCGCTTGCCTCCCAAGCACAATTAGTGTGGACGGGCTTCAATTTCTGCTGTTCCAGTGGGTGTGGTCTGGCACCTGTTGGCGCAGTCCTCACTCAGCAGGAGCTGGGGACCTGTGTGCGCGGGCATGTGTATGCCTGTGTGTGTAAATACCCGCATGTGTGCGCCTGGGGACGTGGATGTGGCAGGTGGACAGGCCCCTGCTGTTCTGCCTCATCCGTCTACCCGTTTCAGCCCAGGGGCACCGCAGGCTCTCATCTCACATGCGGCTCCTTCAGCCGGCACTGCTCTGTGTGTGTGAGGCATCGTGGCCAATGGGGAGGCAGCCGGCGCTTGGGGCGGGGGGCTTCTCCCAGGACCTAGCAGAAGCTCCCCAGCAGCGCCTCCAGCTCTAGACGGAGGGCACCCTGGGAGGCCGATTTCTCCATCCACACCCCGGCCTGAGCACCGCTCAAGCTGTTCTGGCCTAAATGAGCCCCCTGGGCGGGCAAAGACAAGGGCCTCTGGCTGGCTGGACAACTGCCAGGGAGCCTCATTAACTTGTCATTGTGTCAGAGGGCAGGGTCCCTCTGCTTTGGAAAACGGCGGTAGGGTGCTGGATTGGCATCTGAGGACCTGGACCCACGTTCTGACCTCTCGACTCGCCCACAATCCCAGGGCGGCCGTGGCAAGCGTCTGAGCTTCGATTTGCTCTTCTCTAAAATGGGAATACCGAGTCCTTCCCCGCATCCCTCACGGGACTGGAGATGCACATGGCGTGGCTGTTCTGAGGCACGGGTCGTCTGCGCTGCTAGAACGAGTCGTTTCACCCAGCGCCGCCGCGGTGTGGTCTGTGCGCGGGACCCAGGGCAGGAGCTGGCTGGCGAGCGCGCACGATGAAAAAGCTACCCCAGACTGAGAAACTCAGGCGGGATTTGCCAGGAGAACTTTGTCGAATCCAATAGAAAACACTGGAGCTTATAATTTCTGGATTTTTTTAAAGTTATTTTTTTCTTCATTTTACTAGTATTGATCCACGTGGATTGGAAAAAACTACCAACAATTAGTCTTTGACACAGAGGGTTTGGGAAGATTCAAAGTACAAAGAATAGACTTTTCTTTCCAAAAAGCAGTTAGGGAGCAGCTGTCTAAGGGGGGTTGTGGGAGCGTGGGCGCTGGGGGGGACGTGGGTGTGTCCTCTCCCGACAGCAACTGGATGAACACGTGTCAAGAGCCCTGCAGAAGTGGGCATCCTTCGACCCAGTCATCTGAGATGAGGTCAAAGACGTGACCGCCAGGACGTCCACTGGGCAGCGTCTGAAATAGTGCAAAACCTGGAGAGAGCATCGACACCCGGCATGAGGGAGGGTTGACATGCGCGGCTTGCCTGCACAGTGGAGCATCAGGTAGCCACCCAAAACGTTGGAAAAATAAGATTGCAGAAGAGAATGAATGAGGAAAAAATGTTCCTTCCTCCATCCATTTATTTAGCCGACGTTTACTGGTCACCTACGGGGTGCCAGAGAGGGGCCCAGGAAGAGGACTGTATCTATTAAAAAGAACAGCCTTCAGAACACTGTCGACCTGGTGCCACACTGATGGAAAGCTCCTCTGTGCACAGGAGGAAATGGAAAGGTGTGCACATGCGCATTGCCTGTCACTCACTCTGGGGGGCAGGACTGTAGGCATTTCTGTTTTTGGGGGCTTTCCAATATGTCCCATCATGCTCTATGATGAATATATATGGCTCACCAAATTAGATTTGGAAATAAATGCAATTTAGAAAGTTTCAATTTGCATATAAACAAGGGTGTGAGCAGGAAGCGCCTTGTCATCCATTCTCTCTCCGAGAGGAGACTCTCGCAGGGACCTGTTCTCAGCCTCCCCCACCTGCCCAGCCTGAGCCTGGAATGGAAGTCCCAGGGCACACGCCCTGCACCCTCCAGCACCGGTCCCAAGGCCCTAGGAGGCCTTTCCCAGTTTCCAGTTGTGCCAGTGTTCCAGCATCTTGGCTTGGCCCTGACCTTCCTGGGGAGCCGCCCATCCTCTGGCTCTCCTGGTCCCCACAGGCCCCCAGCCCTTCATTGGCCGAGGCAGCAGAGCCAATAACTCCACCTCCCTGCAGTGGCCATCGGATGGCCTGCCCTCCTGTCCTCCTGGGTCTCGGCTGCAGCCTCTGCGTGGTGTCAGCTCCAGTCCCCGCCCTTGGACACCTGGACCCCGCCCGGCAGCCCAGGATGGTTCTGACTGCTGAATACCCTGCCAGGATGTGGGGGACTCCGGTTGTGATGGGCTCACCTCCAAACTTCTTCCTGCTGATGAGGCCCCGAGGATAGTCCTGCCCAGCCTCTTGGCTATGCTGTCCTTGTCGCCCTGCTTGGCCGGGCTTCACGTCACTCAGGTCCGCACTGCAGGGGCCCCTGCTGCCTGCTTCTCCACCTGCCCCTTCTTCAGGTGGCTGAACTGTGCTGCAGAAGTCAGCTTGGACGCCGCCTCCTCCATGAAGCCTCTCTGGCATCCTCCTTCCCTGTCCCAGATGTAGTGAGGCGGCTGTTTCTTGTGTGCTCACACAATCCTCCCCAATTTCAGGGCTTGCCCCCCGCTGCAGGAGCCACCCGGGAGCTTCTCTGTGCTGCCAGGGATGGAAATTCCACGAGGCTCTGTGGGTCTCAGCCCCTAACTCTCAGCACCTGGCACACAGCCTGGTGGTCAGGGGGCTCTGAATGTTTCTGAGTAAATACTTCACCCACGTATGTGTATTCGCATGTAAACTTGCGTATATTGAATAGATAAATATTTCTATTTTGAATACGTCGGATGCACATATGCGATGGGCACAGGGAGACTCCATTGGCCCCAGGCCTCTGTGGGCAGGGTGGGCGTCCGTGTCAGCTCCTTCTTCTGTGCTGAAAGCCACAGAGGCCGCAGAGGAGCTGGCTTCGTGGGAAGCGCGCGGCACGGAAGCCTTCGTACCTCTCCTTGCCATTCCGCTCGTCCAACGCCAAACGTCGGGTGCTGCCTTTTGGCAACAAAACAGTCAAAACCAGACTTGGAATGCTGGATACTAAAGAGCCATAAACAAATCCTAAATAGCTTGTCTCCGCGAGTTTTAGAGCACTCCCTTCTCTCCCCCTCGACCCCATCGCCTGCATGTTGGGGAAAGCGAGGGAGGCAGCGCGTCCGGGGCTGCGCTGAATTTTCTTTATCCTTTCCTCGCCTCTAAAACTCAAGTGAATTTGCCAGATGCTGTTTCCATGGCAACTTCCTCTCCTCTCGCAGCCGACGCTGGAAAAGAGAGTTTTCAGCTTAATCTTCCTGGAAGTCTCCGGGCGCCGGAGTGCTGTTTAGGAGGAAGTGGGAGCCGCCCGGCGGAGCGGCCCTGCCCGAGCCTGCCGGGGCCGCCTTTGCGTCCAGGGTTTTAGGAAGTTATTATGGCCGTGGCTGTTTTTTTGCCTCCTGGAGTGAGCGGCCTCCTCTCAGCGTGGTGGTGGGGAGGCCGCCCTCCTGAGCCCTGGGGATGCGCCAGGAACCGGCTCCTCCCTCCACACCAGGACTGCAAGCCCATCCTCACAACCCCACGGGGCGGTGGATGTGGGGTGCCCCTCTTCCCTCCATTCTGTAGCTGAGCAAAGGAGGTCTCTCAGGGGCACGGGGACCATGAGGGCAAAGTTTGGCCGGAACCTAGCATATGAAACCGGAAGCCTCACCTTGATCTCCACGCAGACTGTCCCTGCCTCACATCACGGCCTCGCTCCCTGGAATCCGACCCTGCTGGGTGCACACTGCAGCCTCCGGGGAGGCCCAGAGCTGGGAGAGAGGAAGGGCAGCATCCCAGCGACACGCCCGGGGTGGGCACAACAACTCTTCCCGGGCCCCGCACACCTTCCCATGGGTGGGAGATGGAGCCCCCAGCTGGCCTTAGCGTGTGTCCATCCTGGCGCCACTGGAGTCCACCGTCAGTGAGCAGCTTCCTGAGTGAGCCTCCCCGGCCTGTCTGGGCAGGGTGGGCGCCTTGAAAGCATCGGAGGAGGGCTCGGTTAACGCGTGATGATGTCTAGAGCTGCGCCATCCAACACGGCCGCCTGGAGCCGTGAGTGTCTCCCCACGTCTAAATGAATCAAGACCCAACGCGACCAGAAATTTGCCTCCTCCGTCGCACCAGCAGCATTTCAAGGGCTCAGCAGGCACATGTGGCTGCCATGTTGGATGGCGAAGATCTAGAACATTCCTGTCA